GATACTCATGAAGCAGAGTATCGATACTCCCAATAGGGCATCGATACTGAGGTATTTTTTAAGACATTGAAGAAAAATTTGGTACCGTTACCCCTAGCTTGAGTGTCGATATTAATTTAGGAGTATTAATAATGCTGTCCTTTCACAGCTTGTAATAATTACATAGTATCGATACCCAAGGGCGAATAATAATACATGTAAGTCAGTATCGATAATAGGGGGCTTAGTATAAGTATCATCGCACATTTATGGGCAAGAAACCCAAGGATTTAGAAGTGATATTGAGGTTCCCAATGGCATTAAACACGACTAAATAAAACTACAAGTGATAACCTTATTTACGTGCAATTACATATAGGAATAACACCAACTAAGGCGACATAAAACTAGCCTTTGTTGACGCTCGAGAAATTGACTAGGTCATCTGAGTTACTTTAACAAATGACAATAGTCGAGGTATATAGTATCTGGATATCCTTAAGCAAGTACGCAAGGCACTTTGAGACTAACTAGGGCGTGAGGCCCAAACACTCACGAGGGGTGGGTTAGTTTGGTGTTGTGTCTGATGTAGAGATTTCAGACCTCACCCTAGGTAGATTATAGGTTTGTGTTTCCTAATATATGTAACCCTCTAACCATACCATGATATCTACCCTAGAGTAGTGTGTAGTATATGAGTATACTCACTTTCCTTATTGCACTCGATAGCATAAGCATTTATTGAACACTTTTAGTATGGTTTAGTTGCTAGTGTGACACTGGGCTAGTAAGCATAGCATTCAGAATATGTTTTCGTGTGATGTCCTTAGGAAATTCATTCAAGGAGCTATCATGCAGTTGACATTCCAAACAGTCCGAGTAGCAGTTGAGTACGTCTTGAGTCTTTTATCTAGAGGGCATGTATTATTCATAGACATTATTATAATTGAGTCGTAACTTTATTTTAAGTACTCAATTATATTATTTTTTATATACTTATTTTAGGAGCTTCCCGAAGTAAACTTTATTTATTTATGTTGATTTACTTTATATAGAATGGTCTTAAATTCATGATTTACAAAGGTTTTTAAAGAAAAATTTTAGGTTAGACACTCCGGTGGTCTCGTGTGACATTCTAATCGGTCAACTTTGTGTTATATCAGGTTAGAGTGTTATATCATTGGTATCATAGTGATATGTTTAGTCGTTCCTAGGACTCAAGGGTTAAAGTCAGTAAGAGTCTATAAGTATATACACCAATAGGAAGTCGAGAGTACTTTCATGTCTTGAATAGCGATAATAACTCCCAGTTTTTATCTTAGTTTTAGAGTTAGTCATGGACGATAACTCCACTCTAATCCATGAGGGTAGGGATGAGTGTAGAGCTTCCCTAACAGGTGATACTAGTGATGAGTTTGAGTTCTTAGGGAACAGCAAGTCGACGAGGCGACCTTCTTCCATGATCTGACTGCATCCCTTAGACATATAGTTAGAGCTATCCCTAGGACACCTGTCACACCTCATACCCAGCTAGCTCCGTTAGCCTCTCTCGTTGTAGCACCGCAGAAGTCCTTAGTTGAAAGGCTCTAGAGGTACAAGACTGTCGACTTCTTCAGCTCCGATAATGACAACCCAATGACTGCTAGCCAGTGGTCAAGAGACACTGAGGATAATCCATTAGCTACACCTTACCCCTGTTGAAAGGTAACACCATAGATTAGTGGGAGATCGAAGAGTTGGTGATGAAGTCCACGTAACCCATATGGGAGCACTTCTTGGAGGAGTTTTGTCAGAAATATATAGGTGGGGCTCACAAAGAATACTTGAGGGATCAATTCCTACACCAGACTCAGGGAGACTAATAGTGTTTGAGTACGAGAGGGAGTTCTTCCGCTTGAGCCGATATGCACCAGAGTTGGTGGCGTCTGAGTACCACCACTATAGGAGGTTTCGGAAGGGCCTTCACTTAGACATTCTCACCCACCTAGTTGTCGACCCATCGAGATTCTTTATTGAGTTGACTCTCTAAGCAAAGACGATAGAGAGTGTTTTGGGTATAAGGACTAGAACATCGGACACTTCTTTCGGTCAGAGCAGGAGAGTAGTTGAGTCTTTGAGACCTTCCCTGCCATTGGCCAAGAGGGCCAAGGACTCCTAAGGAACTTGGAGGACTCCATTGGACTAGTCCAGTAAGTCCGAGCATTGTGCAGGCAAAATGGGTAGATTTGAGCACCGTAAGAGACCCTTGACATCGACTTCCATGGTGAGTGTCAGTGGTTTAGTGAGAGCATTGTTCTAGCTGTAATATGAGGCATTTGGAGCTTTGCTAATGAGGGTCCAGAGGTTGTTACAGTTGTGGTTCTCTATAGGGTTGTTAAAAACTCGTAAGTGTTAATCGTAACCGTTAACCAATATAATTGTTATATCTAACAGATTAATTAACTGAATTGTTAATATTAAATGATTTTGGTTAACCGAACCACTAAAAATGCTAGTTAACGGTTACGAATTTTGATAAATGGTTTATACTTATATTTTTATTTATTATATTTTTACGCAAATAACTTAATATAATTTTTTTATTATTTCTAATTTATATATTTTTAATAAAATTTGTACACAAGTAACTAATATATATTTTTTGAAAATTTTAATTTATTTAAAAATATATAAACATACTTACACCAATATAATTATATCTTTATTATTAGGTACCAAGATATTGAGAGATGTATATAATTACACCGGTGTAAGTATGTGTTAAGTGCTACACATTTTTATAATGATTTATGAACATTTTATTTTATTTTATTAGGTTCTTCAATGATTGAGTTACTTCATAAGGGAATACCGTTTGTGTGGGGTGAGAAGTAAAAAGGAGTTTTGAACAGTTGAAAGTCATTCTAACTTAAGCTCCAATTTTAACCTAGCTGGAATCAGGGAAATACTTCATCGTGTTTAGCGATGCCTCACTAAATGGGCTTCTCTACGTTTTGATGCAAGAAGAAAAAATGGTAGCCTATACATCCCGTCAACTCAAGCCTCGTGAGTGAAATTACCCCACCCACGATTTAGAGCTTACAACAGTAGTTTTAGCGCTTAAGATTTGGAGGCACTACATTTTTGGCGAGAAATGCCATATCTTCACTGATCATAAAATCCTAAAGTACCTACTTATACAAAAATAGTTGAATTTGAGGTAGTGTAGATAGTTTTAGTTGTTAAAAGACTATGATTGTGTGTTAGACTACCACCCAGGAAAAACAAACATTGTCACTGATGTTTTAAGCATTAAGACGATGTTAGAGTTGAGTGCTTTGCTAGCTTGTTTGAGCTTATCTGCAGATGGTGGATTATTGGCTGAGTTACGAGTGGAACCCGAGTTAGTGAGCGAAGTTAAAAAGTTACAAGGTTTTGATAGTTGTCTAACGACTCACGTGGAATAGGTCCACCAAGGTAAGGCCCCAGGTTTTGAGTTATGCGATGGGGACATACTTTTCTTTAGAGGTTGGTTGTGTATGCCCGTCAATGAGTAGTTGCATTGTAAGATTCTCCATGAAGCACATTGTAGTATGTTCTCAGTTTATCCAGGTAGTAATATGATGTACCAAGAGCTCTGACTATTGTATTGGTATATGAGTTCGTTGCTAGATGTTTAGTATGTTAGCAAGTTAAGGTGGAACACCAAGTTCCTTTAGGGTTGCTCTAGCCGATTCAAATACTGTAGTGGAAGTGTGGTAGAGTGACATGGACTTCGTGATGGGGTTACCGATGACTAGGCAGAGACACAATGTAGTGTGGGTTATAGTTGACAGTTTGACCAAGACTGCTCATTTTCTACTGATTCGTTTGGATTACACTTTAGAGAGACTGACATAGTTGTACATTCGTGAAATTGTGAGGTTACATGGAGTCCTGACTTTGATCATTTCGGACAGAGACCTTCGTTTCACTTATTGGTTTTGGAAAGCTCTTCACAAATCCCTAGGTACTAAACTACACTTTAACACCGTCTTCCATCCATAGACAAACGACTATTTCGAGCGCGCCATTCAGATCCTAGAGGACATGCTTAGGTGCATTATCATATACCTTATATTAAATAATTAATGATATAAATAAAGATATATGAGTAATTTTATTCAAATACACATTTGACAAAATTCGAAGATTATAAATTTCAACTTATGGAAATCACTTTTAACATTAAAAATTGTTTGTTATTATTAATTTTATCTTAAAAGTGTTTTTGGAAAACCTAAGCAACACAATATTTGGAGTGGAAATAGGAACCAGATTATCAAAGTTTGCCAGTCTTGACAAATACGCCCATGAATTTTAATTTTGAATGACAATCACAACCACACGAATAAGTGAATGCTGCCAAAAATCATTCTAATTTGGAGTTCACAGTTGAACATTTTGAAAGTTCAACATATTGTTTCATGGAATATTCGTTTATAAGGTAATCACATATAAAATAAAATCTTAAAATTTTAGAAAAATTACAAATTTAATACCTATAGTATTAGTTTTAGTCTATTTTAATATCTAAACTTTTATTTTTTTTTCAAACTATACATAACGTTTAGTTTTCATTTCATTTTAGCACATCGACGTTAAAAACTTAATGCATTTAGTACCTAAACTATTAGTTTTTGTCCATTTTAGTACCTAAACTTTTAATATTTTCATAATTTAACGTTAAATTTTGAACGAAGCACTAAAATGAAACAAAAACTAAAATTTTTAATGGCGAGTACAAAAATGAAACAAAAACTAAACTTTAGTATGACTTTTGAAAATAATGAAAGTTTAAGCATTAAAACAAATCAAAATTAATAATTTAGATACTAAACACATAATTTACCCTAAAAGTTTTTGATGAGATAGACATAAATAGAATTTTAAGACGGACACTATTAGTAAAATAAATAAGTAAATGGAAAAATTTTGAATTTTAGAATATACATTTATCTCTTCTGAAAACTTTGATAAATTGTGAATTTTATCGGTTTTTTTTTTAAATCTTCAACTCTAATCCGAATAATCACGTGGTTAAAATTAAAAGAAATGAAGGAACAACAGGATTACAACTCATTAGGGAGTTCCATAAGTTAATTAAGACAACAAAACTAGATACTCAAATTTCTGGTAATTCTGAAAAATCCCCCACTCTAGCAAAAAGATTATACCAGAAATCCATGTTGGTATCAGTATCATACAGATTTGAACCATACCCATTGACTGCTTCCAACTTTGGCAATGGCGGGTCTGAACCAACAGCTTGAAAATCGTCAGCCATGTTTGAATTGTCAGCCGACAGCACTTCCGACCAGAAGATTTCATCGATTTCCGACACATGATCCTCATGTGTTTCAACCTTGGTCGTGCACACTTTAGCGTTGTTCTGGCTTATCGTTACCGTGGAAACCTCGCTGCTCCTAGATTCTGATGGAGAAACCGGCATTTTCATGGCTTGTTGTTGTACTTGTTCTTTTTTGAGGTCTTTGGATGAATCAACTTTGGTTTTGGATTGTCGTTTGTTGTCATTGGAGTCGTGGTTTGGGTTCAGCCTCTTCTTCAAGTGGGTGTGCCATACATTTTTTATTTCGTTATCAGTTCGTCCCGGTAATCTCGCCGCAATTGCTGACCATCTTTAACAGAAAAAAATATATAAGAAAATTCAGAATCTGCTTGTGCCATCACTGCCATGCACTAAACAATGTGGTGCTCTTGCTTTTGGCAGCCAATTTTTTATGAATAAGAGATGGAACATTTTTTTTGTGTTTTCCAGTGGCAGAAAGGAGAAAAAGTTAAAAAGACTTGTATTGATAAGTATAAGCAATTGTTTTTTATTGTTTGTAAGGGGCATGGCGACAATTATGAGCAAGGAATCTTCTCAGTTTCACATGTTTTTATGATTATATCTTTAACCTAATTCATTAAAACCAATGCAGATCTATCAATAAATAGCATTTTCATTGTATATTATCTATTTAACATTTCTCTTGTAGAGGTAATTGCACGAACTGAAGAATAACACTTTATTTAATAATAATCGAGGTCCATGGATATGAAATATGCAAAGAAATATATGAAAACGCACCTATTACCAAGCGTTTCATGTAAGTTGACGATGGTATCCTCTTCTTCCCTGGTGAAATGCCCTCGTTTAATGTCTGGCCTCAAATAGTTTGTCCAACGCAGCCTGCAACTCTTTCCACACCTCAATAAACCTGGAGGAACAATAGATGAAAGCATCAGCAAAAGATCACAAAACCAGCAATTGATTAAAACAAAGTGTAAAAGTAAATGATCACCAGCTTGTTTTGGGAGTGCTCGCCAGTTGCCATGGCCGTAGAGATTAATGAAATTGATGAGAATCTCATCTTCTTCGGGGGACCAAGGACCTTTCTTCAGTCCCATTTTCTCACAGCATGGAGCTCTCCCCATTGTTCTCTCTCTCAAACTTGCCTTCTTAGCTCTGTAATGGAGATGGAAAGAAGTGATTATAAGCTCAAAATAACAGTATTTATAGGGGACATACATGAATATATTAGTAAACAACCTAATGAGAGTCGGGACAAAAACGGACCAAAAGCGAAAGTTGGGTTGTACAAAAAAGTCAAAAGAGTACTATTTTGATCATATTAATTTTCTTTCATACTTTTTAAAAGGTATATCCACTTGATCCATAATTTCTAGGAAATATCGTCTCTTATTATCTCTCTCTCACACATATATATCACCTCTTTTACTCGAATAAAACGTGGGCAATAATGATTTATGTGCACAAGTGCATCTAATAGGTCACAAATAATAACAGATATAAAATTTTATATTAAGAGTAAATTTATAATTTTTTAAAGAGAACATAAAAATTAGTTGAAAATATAAAAAATATATAATAATTTAGAATGTTTAAGAGATCAACTGTCCATGTCCACCTTCCTCTGTTCATCCTTGGTCGCCGATTGAGTTCATACTCCCCCTGCTGGTTTGATACCTCTGCTGTAACTTTTCTCTGTTAAAAAATAAAAGAACATTTCAAGTAGCAGTTCAGCAGCAGCTCATCTCCAAGCTTTCAACCGGCAACTAAGTGGCTTTGTAATATGGTTACAGCAGGCTTACTTTAAGAATTCAAAAAACTTATTGGAATTCAAGAAGTAGCAGTATTAATATATTTGTTTTAATTATGCGTATATATAGATGTGTTACATATTAATACTAAATCTTTCTTTCAAGTAAATCGGGCATAAAAATGAAATTAAAAAAATATACCCACGACAGCAACAACAACAAACACCCTCAAATTACTTGTTTATTTGGATCAACGACTTGTTTAATGGAAGAAGAGGACGACACTAGAAGAGGATGTCTTTTTAAAAGTGATAAATTTCTCGAGAAGATCAAGTTACTCATGTTAAAGAAGGTTAATATGAAATGCAGTTTTGATGAAACAAGAAGTTTCTCAAAAAGGTCATGTTTGATAGAAGAAATATGAAAGATTTATCCATGACCTTCAAGAGAAACTCAAAGGGCGACGTCCTTATAAAAGGCATCATCTTCGGGTGGCATAACTTATAACACCGATATTTGTATAAGGATCTCTAAGTTTTGTGCCAAGTCGTGTCACTAGAAGAGGAGCCCCTTATTAGTAAAGACCCTGCGTTATAATCTAGAATGCCACAAAAATAGGATGCCTTATATAGGCAAAGACCTCACGCTTTGTAAAATGCGTTCTCCATTGAGATTTCTAACATGGAAGGGACCTTGCATTTTGTAAAACGTGAGGTCGCTAGAGATTTTTGACGTGATAGCACCTTAAATGTACACATTTAATTTGACATATCAGGGCCTTGCGGTATGTAAGGCGCGGGATTTTGAAATAAAAATCTATAAAGATGAATGATAACCATGTTGGATGGTTAGCTTCGTAAAAAAATAATTAATGGCAATATTCTGTGCAACTGTGTTCTATTTCAGAACTTATTTCTACACTTCCTTCAATGGCAAGATCAAGAAAGATGAGTTATATGATTTGATTTCAACAGAGCTTAAAAATCTACAACACGACTGATGTCTTCGTTGCAAGCAAAAATTCCCGTTGATGAGCCCGAACCAAAAGCACATTGCATGCTGACCTTATCAAATGGAAGCGATATTTGGAATATGTTTAGTGTTTACAGAAGTGTTGGTGGTATAAACATTGAGTTGACTATAAAATTTGAGGAAGAAACATCTTCATCAAGTAACGCAGAAGCAACTCAATTGTCAAAAAATGAAGAGGACGAAGAGACAGTTTTGCTATGCTATGCTCGTAAACGTCAGGAGAAAGAGCAAATACTTATGGAACTGGACTTAACATCAGACATTTCTACAGACTACGAAGAAATGAAAATAAACTCATCTTTTATTCATTTCAATTAACCACAACTTCGTGTAGTTCTTTTTTATTGTTTTTATAAATTAGTATTTAAATAAAAAATTTCATAAAAATATGATGGTTGTCAAAGTATTTATGCAATGAACTAAACAACTAATTATCATCTTGTTAAAGTATAACTTAAATAAATTAATAATTTAAACTTAATTAATATTTTAAAAATTCTAACATAACAATAACATAACAATACATATAGAACCAGAAATTAAAATATAATAAATTTCAATATTAGAAAATACGATTACATAATTATGATACATAAATTGTAAACGAAGCAATGTTTTTCATTTTGCTTAATCCTAGTTTTAATGGAACGAGAAGATAATACCACCAGAAGTTGATGCATTTTTAGAAACGAGAAGAAGAAGGTTCATGAGATAGGTGAGTTTGATGGAATGAGAAGTTTTCCTAGAAGTTTCTCGAATTCCATGTACAATGGAAACCATGGGTTCTTTATTGGAGGTGTGCCATTTGTTATATTAGAAGAGGATGCCACCAGAAGAGGACACCTTTTTACAAACAATATGTTTCTCGAGAAGGTCAATTTACTTATGTTGAAAAAACAAGGATGCTCATATAGGCATGGACCACGCGGTCTACAAAACACGATTTTCAATGAGATTACTGACATGACAAGGATATCGCGTTCTGCAGAACACGAGGATCGTAGAGATTCCTAACGTGGCAGCACCCTCAACATACACATTTGATTTGATATGTCAATGGGCCTTGCTTTCTACAAGGCACGAGGTTAGTTAAATTTATCTATATAAACGATATGATAATCATGTTGGATGGATATCTTCGTAAAAAATATTCAATGAAAAGATTTTTCTGTATATGTGTTCCATTCGAGAACTTATTTATACACTACCTTCAACACACAAATCAAGAAAGATGAATTGTATGATTTGATTTCAACGAAGCTGAAAAAATCTACAACACGATAGACGACTTTTTTACAAGTGAAAGGTCATGTTGATGAGCCCGACCCTGAAGCACATTACATGATAACCTTATCAAATGGAAAGAACCTTCGGAAGATGTTTAGTGTTACAAACATGTCAGTGGTATGAACATCGAGTTTATTGTAAAATTTGAGGAAGAAGTATCTTCATCAAGTTAAGTAGAAGTAGCACGGTTGTCACAAGACCAAAAGTATGAAAAGCCAGTTCTACTACGTTATGTCCGTAAACATCTGGATCGAGAGGAAGAAACAACTTCATCTTCATGAAATATTTTTACAGACTACGAAGAAAGATAATCTTCTAACTCCTTTTATTCATTTCAACTAACTGTAACTTCATGTAGTTGTTTTTTTATTATGTTTATAAATAAATATTTAAATAAATTATCATGTTGTTGAAAGATAATTTTATTGATATTTTGAATATTTTATATATCAAAACTTAATTAATAATTTTAAAACATTGAACATTATATTCAACTCGATTCGATCATATATTTTAAACATAAAAAGTTGCATTTTTCATATATTATTTTACTTTTGTTACTACAATTACAAACTACACATTTATACATTTTTCATTCGTCTCTCAAATTCGGTCTCTACGCCATATTGGAAAGTCTTCATACTTATTATTCTTCTTCTTCTTATTCTCCATTTCCATTTTCTTAATCTTTTCTTCAAGTTTACTTTATAATTCTCAAGTATCGACTTTATTGCCTTATTTACTCAATCCTCATACGAAGATGAGATTTAATCTCAATCGTCGGAGTAAGAGTCGAAAGACACAAAAATAAAATTTGAAACCATAAATTTTTTTCCATATATACATAATTTTGAATAACTCAAAGAAAATGTGAGGAGAAATGTTAGGATCGAAGAGGCTCAAATCAAACAACCGAAAAATCTGCAAATGAGATGAAAAGATAAAATATTTTTAGGGAGTAAGGAGAGCAAAAGATAAGACAATGAACATAAGGATTGATAGTGGTTCGACTTCTCAACTAAGTCTACATCTACTACCTTAGCTCCTCACTAAGGATTTTCTAACAAATCCACTAATTTGTTCTTTCTTTTTCAAGGATCAAGAGTAACCTTTACAACTCCCTATCTTTTTAACTTGGCTAAGATATAACCAACCCCTTTACAAAAAGGATAAAAAGAAGTAAACAAATAAACCTCTCAAAGGTAGGTGTTTACAAAGAATTAAGCTCACACAAAACACAAATATTTACAAGAGAATTGGAATAAAGAGTGAAAAGCTCTTCTCTTGTGTTAGATTGTTTGGATAGGTGTTCTAACCCTTCTTCAAGTGTTCTCAACTTGTATTTATGTGTTGGAAGCTATTGTGGCCGTTTCTAGCTGTTGGAGGTTGTTTGGAGCCTTTGGGGACCAATTTTTGTGCAAAATAAAACTGCCTAGAACAAGGGGTATCGGTACTCCTAAAGGGAGTATAGGTACTACCTTTGTTAGTTTTAAATAAAACTAGTCGTTGGGCCTGATGGTATCAATACTATGCATATGGTAACGATACTACTATACAGAATAGTATCGGTACCCCTTTGGGTATTGGTACCATTTTTGCATTCTGGAATTTGAGAAATGCTGGTAGTATCGGTACTACCTAGTGAGTACCAATACTTCCCTTACATTTGGTATCGGTACCATATGAACAGTATCAGTACTTGTTCATGAGGTATCGATACTGTAAGAACAATATCGATACTACTTGTTCAGAAAAACTTTTTGTGCTCAATTCCACTTTTAAGAACTTTGAATTATTTTTGAAAACTTTTGAATAAAATTCAATTCAAGTCATAAACATTTTGCCTTAAATTGTTATATTAAAATATAGTTCAACAATCTCCCCATTTTTGATATAACAAAACATTTGAAAAATTGTTCTCGGCAAAACTCACCCTTAATAAAATGTTTAATGAAAAAGATACCAATTGTTGGAAATTATGTGAAAATGTTCAGCTCCCCCTTTTTCATTAAGAAATTAAAATTTTCAAACCCATACTTCTTCCCCTTTTTGTTAAATCAAAAAGAATTCCAAACAGTTGAAATTGATTTTTTCAATTTTAAAGTTCTAAAATAACTTTGGAGAGTAAGTGTCAAATTTTAACATAAAATTATTTTGAAAAATCAAAAGCTTCCCCTCAAAAAGTGCATTCAAAACAAAAAAAAAGCTTTAAAATCTTGACACTTAAACAAAATTGAATTTCAACAAAGAATAACAAACATGTTAGTAGCACATGAAATTCAATATTTCAAAGTCTAAAATACTTTTTGCAATACCAATAATTGAAATTAAGTATATGTGCACAAAGCTATTAAAAAATGTTATGCATTTGAAAAATTTGATATCAATTGTTAGAGACATATCTTTAACATTTAAAACACATGCATAAACATTTAAATTTAGGTCAAAAATTTAAAATTTGTAAAAACAAAGCATTTGAAAAGTTGATATCAATTGTCAGAGAGATATCATTTGAATTGAAAATCAATTTTGACAAAAAATCATTATGATGAACAAAAATTATAAGAAATCATTAAAATTTTAAAATGTTCATCATAAAACATTTTTCAACATACACGAGATTAAAAACAAAACATAGTCATTTTAAGATCAAAATTCATGCATGCTTAAAACTAAATGAGCAACCAAATAATCAAAATCAAAAGCATTAAGCTTAGAGGTTACCCATTCTTTTTCAGTGTGGCTAGAGCATTTGAGTATCTTCATCACCATTTCTCCCACACACCTACAAGAGGCATTTAATTGGATTTTGGTATCCAAATTGCTTTGGATCCTTAGACGTTAGTTTCAATCCCCTTGTTCCCTTAGGAACCCATACTTGTCTATTTTTTTAAAGATTTTCTTTTCTTTATGGGAAAAGTATGTTCCATATGACCATGGAAATGGCAATGTGAGCATTTTGCTATTTTTAAACATAATGAGTTGTTTTGAGAAATTAATTCTTTTTCTTTTGTTAAGTTCTCAAGCTTAATTTTCAAATCAAAATTTTCTTTTTCTAAATCATTGATTTTTGACTTTTGAAAACTCTAAATCATTTTTCAAAATTTCATTTTGTTTTTCAAAGTCAATTTTAGCTTTCAAAATCAAATCATTTTCAATTTTAAAATTTGAAATTAATTTCTTATATTTGGAATTCATGATCTCAAATTTCAAATACAACTCATTATAATCATCATGTAACTCATCAAAAGAATGTGAATTTAAATCATTCGAGTTAGAAGATACCTCGAAATCTCCTTCGATGGCCATGAGGCATAGGTTGGCTACTTCATCTTCATCATTGGAGTCATCTTCATTACTCCAAGCTGCCACAAATGCCTTTTACTTTAATGATCCCTTCTTCTTTAGGAGAGGGCATTCATACTTCACATGCCCCTTTCTTTGACAATTGAAGCACACCAGGGGAACACCAGGGGACCCTTCTTCTTGGTTGATTCACGCTTCTCTTCATTGGAAGACATGAAACTTTTGAACTTTTTGAATAGCTTGGCCATCTCCTCTCCTTCATCTACCTCTTCATTTGAATCTTGATAGCTCTTATTGGTAGATTTGAAGGCAACTCATACCTCCTTATTTTCTTCTTTTTTCTTGTCTTTCTTTTCTTCATCATCATCCTATTCTTTCAGTATCAACTCATGAGTGAGAAGAGAACCAATCAACTCGTCAAGAGTGAGAGATTTTAGGTCTCTAGCTTCGATAATCGGCGTCTTCTTCGATTTCCAAGACTTTAGAAGAGAGTAGATCATCTTCCTCATAAGCTTTTCATTAGAGATTACTTCTCCAAATCCCTTTAGACTATTGACAATCACATAAATTCTATCCTTCATGGTTTTGATGTCTTCATCAGGTTTCATCTTAAAATTCTCGTAGCTATGGTTGATAAGACTTATCTTGGTTTCCCTCATTTCATCGGTTCCTTCATGAGTTACTTGGAGCTTTTCCCATATCTCCTTGGCATTGGAACATGAAGAGACTCTTCCATATTCATCCGAGCCTAATGCACAAAAGAGAATGTGCATATCCTTAGCATTGAGCTAGAACTTTTTCTTCTCTCTATCACTCCAATCATCCATCTCATCGGGTGGAGTGGAGTATCCCTTCATGATTGAGTTCCAAGATCCTAGATCATTGGCTTGAATGAAGAGCTTCATCATATTCTTCCAGTAGACATAATTTGCTCCATTGAAGTAGGGTGGCTTGTTGACTGGTCGTGAATCTTCACTGTAATAGGCACCGGAGGTTGAAGCCATTCTTTGTTGGTTGCATTGGGAATCAGTAGAGCTTCTTTGAGGACCGTCTCAATGTGGTTAAACCTTCTAATGAGTCAAGATTTGCTACCAATTGTTAGGATCGAAGAGGCTCAAATCAAACAACCAAAATTTTTTAAAGGGGGTAAAAAGATAAAATTTGTTTAGGGAGTAAGGAAAGAAAAAGATAAGACAATGAACACAAGGATTTATAATGGTTCGACTTCTCAACTATGTCTACATCCAGTACCTTAGCTCATCACTAAGGATTTTCTAACAAATCCACTAATTTGTTCTTTCTTTTTCAAGGATCAAGAGTAACCTTTACAACTCTTTATCTTTTAAACTTGGCTAAGATATAATTAACCCCTTTACAAAAAGGATAAAAAGAAGTAAACAAATAAACCACTCAAAGGTAGGAGTTTACAAAGAATCAAGCTCACACAAAACACAAATATTTATAAGAGAATTGGAATAAAGAGTGAAAAGCTCTTCTCTTGTGTTAGATTACTTGGATAGGTGTTCTAACCCTTCTTCAAGTGTCCTCAACTTGAATTTATTTGTTGGAATGTTGTTGTGGCCTTTTCTAGCCGTTGGAGGTTGTTTGGAGCCGTTGGGGATCAATTTTCCTGCAAAATAAAACTACCCAGAACAAGGGATATCGGTACTCCTAAAGGGAGTATCGGTACTACCTTTGTTAATTTTAAATAAAACTAGTTGTTGGGCCTGATGGTATCGATACTATGCATATGGTATCGATACTACTAGTATCGCTACCCTTTTGGGTATCAGTACCATTTTTGCATTCTAGAATTTGAGCAATGCTAGTAGTATCGATACTACGTAGTGAGTATCGATACTTTTCTTACCTTTGGTATCGGTACGATATGAACAATATCGGTACTTGTTTATGAGGTATCGATATTGTAGGAACAATATCGATATTACTTGTTTAGAAAACCGTTTTGTTCTCAATTCCACTTTTAAGGACTTTGAATTATTTTGAAAATTGTTGAATAAATTCAATTCAAGTCCAAAAACATTTTTGCCTTAAATTGTTATATCAAAATATAGTTCAACAAGAAGACCAATATTTGGGCGCCTTATTTATAGAAGTCATTGTACCTAGGAGGTACAATATTTAATAGATCTCACATTACATGATGCGAAGGTCCATGGAGATTCCTAATGTGGTAGGATTTCACTTTCTACCAAACGTGAGGTTATTTATTTATCCAATTAACTAAATATATTTTTGCAAGTTTGATTAACTAAAAATCCTATTAGAGTTTGATTAACTAAAAATATTACATTAAATTTTTCAGACATTACATATTTTTCATTTCAAGGAAAAAAAACTAATGATGCCTATGTCCTACCGTACTACACCATGGTGTACGACAAGCTCGATGTGGATTCATACAAATCAATATATCTTAATCAGTATCAGTATGACCATCTACATGTGCAGTACCATCACTGGCACTAAGACCAAGAATGGTATAGAATATGCATTGTTGCTGTGTTTGCTGAACACTATAGGATTCGAAGTCTCTTGCCAATGGTGGAAACTGAAATACCGATGGTGGAATAGATGAATAAAAAAGTTATGGATAATATGGTTTAACTGATACATGAAGGAAATATGAAGGGACAACCATCATTGGATAGGAACGAAACACTTTGGTGAAATAACCTTCCATTGAAGGTGGCATATGCTGAAATGATGACTGGGTCGAGTGGGTGAATGCAGGTAATGACACCGATATCTGATGCTATACTAATGACTGTACAAGTTATCATGTCATTCCCGATGATGAGCAATTAGTGTGTTTTCTTATTCTCTGGCTTGATTCCTTCCACCACTAATAGTACATTATATCAGTGTACGTTGCGTCTGAGGGTGATCTTGGGAAGACACAAAAATTTCTCATGCTCTCTTCTCTTTGTTCAATATATGCGACTTCCCATATTGATCGTACATAATATGTAATAATTTGAAACACTGTGGTCGAAGATGGGTTGATAAATGAGTCACCTATATAATCTCGTTATTCACTACGACACCAATTGCGAATGATGAATCTCCCAATTAACATATATCTTTTCTTGTTGTGTTATATGATGCAAGTCGTCCAACTCTGGTAGGGATAGAAGAATTGTTGTGACACAGTTAAATTGCTGCAGTATGCGATCGATAGGACATCATTCAACTATCTTATAAACTATCAATGAGACCATTGATATCCAAACACCCAAACGAGGCCTATTTCAGTCGGAGTACACGATATAGTAGCATCATTATTGTACAACATCCTGCTGAACTACAAAATTTTTTAAACTAAGTTAGATGTTTCTCGAATTAAAAATGATTTTAAAATTAAAAAAATGAAATCAATTACAATTATTACATCGTCTGTCATTTTATCAATCAACTATCTAAAATCACGTAGAGTTGTTGGTAGATGGGTGTGAGTTAGTGTACCAGTCCACCTATCATTCATATAAAAAAGATAATTATTTGTAAAACACTATAAAAATGTATATCAATATAAACATATAAACATATTTCATTTTTAATTACCTATATAATAGTGGAAATTGAAATGGGGCCAGGTGTAGGAATCAACCATAAAAAGACATTCATAACCAAGACCATAATTGCAACAACATCAGACATCCTCTAATAACTTGTTTGTCTGAATCGACAACTTTACAAAGCTCCAAAAAATAGAAAGGCCAATACTACCGATCCCCAACTCTTATATTTATAGTCTTTCAAAATACGTAGATTATACAACCACATCAAATACACTTTGTTATAATATTTATCTGGCATCAAGATCCCCCAATAACTCATAAAATACGAGCACAAATAAATATATGCAAAATAAAAAATAATCATAAATTAAGCAAATTATGATAAAAAAATTACAATAACATAAAATAAAATTTCAATATTATTAAAAATTTAAAATAAATAAATGTAAATTTCAATAATTTTCTCTAATTATTAGAGCATAATTGAAGGATAACTGCTTAAAATTTTCATCAAAAAATTTAATCTTAATCTTGACTTCATCTAAATTGCGATCGTTTGGAGGAATTCCGAGTAGTTCCTCATATAAGTCGGCCTAGTACCCATCAACAATACTAGTAATAGCCATTCTGTCAACATGAAGCCTAAGATGGAATGTAAGATCTTCAAGGGTAATAGTTTGCCTCCCCACAAGGAAAATGAAACGTTTGAGTCTGCAGCCTCCATCATTCTAGCAATGCATTTATTAGTGGAGGATGCAACTTCTAACACCAATTATAGGGCTAACACAAAAAGAATCAGCTTCGAGAAAATTTATCGAATATCCTCTGTCGTGAAGTTGAAATTTGACTTGAAAATAGAAGATGACTCCCTGCTATTGAGCTGAGTTACGGATGACTCATTCGTCGTGAAGTTGAATCGATATTGAGATGTCTTTGAGCATGATATCCTTCGTAATGAAGTTGAAATCTAGCTCGATACGTTGAGTAAACAATTATTCCTGGTCATTCAGTTAAGATAAACCGTAGTTAATCTTAGGTCCTCTTCTAGTCTAAAGTCCTTCATCGTGAAGTTGAAATTTGACTAGACGACCTTAGTTGAGAAATAATTATTCATTATTCAGTTGAACTATGTTGTAGATGACTCATTCGTCACAGAGTTGAGTCGATTTTGGATGGCTTGAGCATAATAGCCTTCATCATGAAATTGAAATTAATCTTGAAATTTGCACTGAAATGTGGCTCCTTGTTGTCGAGTTATAGTAAACCTTGGTCTTTTTCTTGGCTTAAAGACATCAGTTTAAAATTCAACCAGAAAGTAGTTCCTCACTGTTACCATGCAGTTGATACACCATCAAACTGAATGGAATCGAACTCAAAAGTTTTCGTTTACACACAACTTTCCTTGACTTAAACTATGATGTAAATTAGGCTGAAAGATAGTTCCTTAGTTTTAAATCGCAGCCAACCTAGGTCTTCTTCTTGGCTTAAAGACCTTGAATTGAATTTAAACCTAAAAGTATTTCCTCACTACTACCATGCGGTTGATAAGCTCTCGAACTGAATGGAATAGAACTAAAAAGTTTTTATTGATAGACAACTTGTCTCAATTTAAGCTATATTCTAGAGATAGTTCCTTGTTGCTAAATTGCACCCAACCTAGGTCTTCTTCTTAGTTTAAAGATCTTAGTTTAAAATTCAATAAGAAAATAGTTCTTCGCTGCTACTATACAGTTGATACGTCCTCATGCCGAATAGAATCAAACTCAAAAGCTTTTATTGACAAGTAGCCCTTCTCGCCTTGAGCTATGCTGTGAAAGGTTCCTCTAAGTGAATGATGGCTTCCCTTTGTGGGTCTAAGCTTGTGATAATCCTTTATATGACTCCCCTTCACGCGAAAGTAAGGTGAGACAACTCCCTTTCATGGTATAAGTTGATCTTGATTCCTCAAGTAACTCCACTTCACGGGAAAGTCAAGTGGTATATTCTTCAGGTGGTTCCCTTTTGCGGGTATGAACCAGGTGAGATGATCTTTGGATGACTTCCCTTCATGGGAAATCCATGTGACATGTTCTTCGAGTGACTCCTTTTTGCGAGAAATCCAAGTGAGGTATTATGTCAGTCGTATATTATTCTTCCTGGAGTTGAAATTTAGCTTGAAAATTGGAAACTAGCCACTCACCGTTGAGTTAAACTAAACTGAATCCGTTCTGAATTGGCTCTCAAACTTGAGTTGAAGTTGATTCTAAGGCTTGTAGATCTTTCTATAGGTTGAGTTGATTGAGATGTAGCTCCTCATTGTTAAGTTAGGCTAAGCAGTCATTGATTTTTGAAGAGACTTTTGAATCAAGTATCCTTCGTCGTGAAGTTGAAATTTGACTCTAAATCTGCAAAATTATGTATGCAGAAAATGATAAATGATGTTCTTAAGTATGTCTAAGATGTATGCAAAATGAATTAGTTCTTGTTTTATTTCTTGAACGGAGTCTCATTCTTTGTCTGTTGGTCTTGTCATTAGAATAGATCATGCCCCATCACTGACGACTTTATGAAAAATATCTGACCTTTTCTCATTTGTTGACTCAATCCAATGATCTTGCACTCCTGATTATATGGGTTGATTTTAATCTAGAGATCCTTAAGCGTTATTTTAGCCTTTGTTTACTCGATGGAGTAAGACTCTTTTGCATTTGGTTGATGATTAACTGCTGAAACTGGTTGAATCATCATAGTAGTTGACACATCAATATTCAGTGAAAGGCTTCCTTACATGGCTTGGAAGCTCAAATGACAACTTCTACAGCCAGGGCTACCACCTCCAGTGTCTGTAAAATTATTCTGTGTGTCATGGAAAAAAACTGGCGCACAAGAAGACATGCTCCCTTGAAATTATATCAAGCACCCTCAATGCTTCTTGTGAGTTCTCAGATTCTTATACTCGTAGAGTACTTTGAATTTCTTGCATGGGAATCTTGGCAGTAAAGCTTTTCTTTACTCTAAACGTCTTTGAGTTCTAAACATCTCGCTCTCTTCTTTTCATGCTCATTTTGGTTGTCGTAACCATCAAGGCTCGCATTCCCGTTGTTTCTCTTCGATATGGAATCCTCAAGTATAAAAGTGAACTCATGCATGTTATTCATAAGGGATTTAACAACGACCAAACTTTTCTCACATCATAAGCGAAACTCTTTCCAGCTAACATTTGTTGTAGGTCTCTTGCACCTTCCCTGGCGCCTTCTTTTATCCCTTAGATCGAGTATCACGCCTGGACATGCTACATTCTTCTTCGTAATGTCAAGTTTTATTTTGATAGGAACCACATCAGGAAGCATGTATGGTGGAAGGAGAAGAGATTGGAAACTTGGAGATGCCCCACACCATTTCAGGTTCTTCAACCTATTTTTTTTAGAAAATATGTCTTGTCTGAGATATATCTCCATTTTCTTAAAAGGTTTGGTATAAAAATGATGCAAGAGCAATTGAAACAAAGTATCAGTTCACTGAATATCAAATAAATGAACCATACAAGTTGTTTTCAAAAAATTATGGCCCTTTGACAAGCGTCAAGATCTATGGGTGATATGGGAAGACAATGAAATTTGGTTTTGATTTTCATGAATTTTTAATAGGTTGTGAACGAAACAGCGCAATTGATGCACTCCACTGCATGGCCCTTTAGAGAGTATTTCTATTTCAATTATCAGGATTCCTCCATTTGTTCAAGTTTTGTAGACTCCTTAAGCAGAGATAGAGCAGAAATATCGATCTAAAAATAAAACCCCTGAGTGCTTTTGCGTAGTCAACTATAACAAATGTTTCATGACTCTCTTAGTCCACCTTTCACTGAAATTTAATGTTAAATCCATGTTTATCACAGGTTTACTGCCTTTTTTTAAACTATGCTTTGTTAAAGTTGATGTTCTCGCTTTAGATTTTGTTGGGAAATTCATCTCGACACATAGAGACTAGTGTCATGATCTGAATGTACTCATATTCATAAAGTTAGGGAAACTAATATTTCCCATTACTTTAGCGAAATACCCTTAATTAAAGGATTCAAGTGTCAGAAAGTCTTCGACTTGACAAACTCAAACGAAACTCACATTTAAAAATGTTTGGACATTACAACCATAGCTATTTCAGAGATTACATCCAATGATTAACAACCTACTACTTTCAGCGGAGTGCTCCCAACATTGTTAAAACTATCATGCATTAATATCACATTATTTCTTCAATTTCGATATTTTATAAGTTTGTGAGAAAGAATCTGTTATAGTATGAGTGTTAGTGAAAATCAGGAAATTTTGTCTTTAGAGTTCAATTCCTAAGCAACTGATCTAAGCCAAATTTGTCTATTCCACCATTCCATTTGTGAAAATTGTATATCTTCATAAAACTTCATTAACAGACATGCAAACTAACTGTTCCTTCGATGTCATGCATCAGAAATGCCCCATCTTGTCTACTTTTAAACTTGTACGAGTGAGAAAACATTTTTTCTTTTTTAGGGTAAAAAATATGGATCTTGTTTTTTTAAAAGGAATTTGATCTCGGCATATGAAAAAAGGCTATAACCTCTTTTCTCATAATGTGCATTTCATTATACTTGATATTCAATGAATTTCAAACAATTCTCTATTACTCAAAGAAATGTCATTTTTTAAAAAGGGTCAAGCATATAAAAGACAAATTCAAGCAAGACATTATTTCATAGGCAACACAACTCTATGGTAATAGTGATGATCTCCTCTTGTTTCATCATAAGATGACCTATTCATCGATTGTGATATTCACTTTTCAGATGCATCTCCAGTTATACGAACATCCATTTATGGAGTGTCGTTTCTTTCTTCGTAAAATTCTAGCTCTTTTCTATCAATCATTAGCTAGATCAAGGCTCTAAATTCGACACATTTTTGTATATCATGTCCATATTCATTGTGATAACAGAAATGACTACCACCTTTGCAATCTGATGTACTAGGATACGGTGTAAGAAATCCCGCATTTATCATTTGCCAACATACCCAATCCAGAGGTGACTTCACTTCGGAAACTATAGTTTTGACATTCTTTCTATTCCCCTCGATAATTGCATTAACCCCATTTTCTTGATGGTTAGATAGAGGATTATGTGCAACATTAGGTGACTCTGAATTATTAAATTGAATTTATTT